AAAAATCACTAAGGATGAGGGAGCTGTGGGTGGTGACCCAAGGATTCCCTCCCTCCCTCCAGGTCAGTAGCATCAACTCCAGCAGAGGTGACCCTGCACTCATGCTGCATTGTTACCCATCCAGCAGTTGCCATGAGCTTGTGTGTATATACACAGTGTGGTGTACAAAACACTGTGCATGTGTGTGGTCACTAGGTTTCCACAGAGCTTTTGTCTTGTCATTTCAGCGCAGGCAGGCAGCGTTTTTCCCCCCTCAGTTGGAGCGGCTGCATAATTCAGTCAGAGCAACTGGGACTCCCAGAGTCTCTGAACATAATGACGTGAACCCATTAAACAGCTAATCAGAAACAGCAATGAAGCTGATGATGAAGGTGATGCCATTGAGAACTTCAGTGCAATCATCAACCCCATTTAAAAATAAAAAACAAACGAATTACTTCTGCTTTCTAAGGAGAATGAAAGGGAGGTAAAGGGATCCTTGCTGCAGTGTGTTGCTGAACGTGGTCACCGTTCATGCAGCTAAAATTGTCGACACGAATGCTGTGAGGTGTTTATGCATAATGCAGCTCTCTCTGAGGAACAAGCCTCATGCCGCTGCACTTGTTGAAACAGTTTTAGTGTCATGCTCACTTTTGTCTTTATTATTCACTCTGGAAAGATTTACAGCTGTTGCAAATCAATGAGACATAAATGGAAATAAGGTCATTGGCGTTTTGTGTGTGCTGTAAAAATAAATTAAAAAGCCATTTTTAAACAGGCAAAATAGTTTGTATTTTAGAGAATTTTGCTAGGATCAAAGCCAAACAATGCCAGTTCTACTCGAGAGTGAGGTATGGATGTAACAATACCAAAAAGTCATGGTGTGATATAAGTCCATGATACAATCTAAAAAAAAGAAAGAAGAAGAAATCAGATGGAATACATGCCCTGTACTAAATAATAAATCACCTTTTTAAAATAAAGTATATAAAAGAGAGCGTAGCAGGCCTTTTATGAGATAATATATTATTGTAGTAGTTGGATCTGGTAAATGAAACTAGTGGAACATCAGTGTTGTAGCACCCCCTCGGCAGCAGTACCTTTCTGTGGGTGGTGACAGTGCTGACCGGAAACAGGGCTCTCAGTAGGCTAGTAGGCTAGTAGACCAGTTGAAGTGTGTATCCATGACCACTGGGGTAGTATTGAGCAAACTGCAACTTGGCGCACCAGAGCAAGGAGAAGATGCCAAACTAGGACAAGCCGCATAAAGGTGGCTTGTCCCCCCCCATACGTCCCTTTCGTGGGAGCTGCTTACAGCGGATCTGTCTCGTTCTTTATCATCATCTTCCTTGCTGGTGCATTGCGCTCTTTACCCACAACCAGTTCACTTCTACTTCATGTGTGTCTCTTGTGCCTCCATGATTTTTACCTTTTGTTTCTCAGTTTCCTTCTCAGCCATCTGCCCGCGTTTACTTCCATCTCCAGTCTGTAAAGGTCACTACTGGCCAAAAATTGGCATCTTATCCAAAGGTGATTGTTAAAATAAAAACTAAATCTTCTAGTAAGGTGGTGATGGTTTTATCTGAGGACATTTCTAGAAAAATCTTGAACTGCCTTTTATTGCAGAACTCTAAAATGGCTTTAGTGTGCTTGGCATATTGTTTAGAAAAAGAAAAGACTAGGGACCGATAATGGACTACTTTTGGATTGCTGATGATGTTTTGCAGTGTTGCCTTTGTGTTCGTTTTGAGTTTTGAATGGAATAAACATGTATTTTTTTATCTGAAAAGATAGAAAGGCTCAAACGCTAATTCACTCCATCATTATCTAATTGTTTATCCCATCAGTTATTGTAGATAAAATCAAATGAGTTGGAAAAACAAGTAAATAGCTGAAATCTGCTAAAAGTTCAGTTTGAGGCCAGAGCTTGCTCGGAATGTCCAAACCCAACTAGAAAGCTGACTCTCAGTTCTGTGGAAAATGTATTAGACACATCTGGCTCATACAGCTAATACTAATAAACACTAAGTAGCAGTGTGGTGAAAGGCTTCGCAGAGCTGTACAGCTGGATGCTGTTCAGTAACAGACCTCTGAAGTACGGTTCACTGACATAAAAACAGTCTGCTGTATTTTGAAAGTGCTTTCAAACTCCCAAACTGATTTTTTTTGTAAGATTTGAAGGCTGTGATGTGCCTTTTTTGTGATAACATATGTACCACAAAAACAGCATTTATATTCATTAAGGCTGTGATGTGCCTTTTTTGTGATACCACAAAAACAGCATTTATATTCATGCTCTCAGACTAAAAGTACCTCTGATATGTTGGTACAAACCAGTTTATTAAGTAGCTATGGGTAAAGGTCACCAGTAATGATCCCCTTCATTCGATCTTGTCTTGATGAGCATCGAGGAAGGTCTGTAGTGACTAATTAGCGGTGGGCAGCGACTCCAGCTGTTGATATCGACGGCTGCTTACAGAAGCATGTCTTTATAATTGCCTGTGCTGTTTGTTGCACTACACTCAAGACAGGATCAAGTTTTTGATGAATGTGTCTCAACAATGAAACTAATTGTGCCCAAAGCAACGTTTTTATGCTTTTTCTTCACTCAGTCACTTTAAACATCAGGGCAGCTATTTTCATAACAAGTATTGATCACTTCTGTGCTAGAAGTCTCAGAAAATTAGGCTCTGTGTGCACAGGTAGACTGTGTGCATGTGTGTGGGTACAGATGTGCACAGACTGTGCATGGGTGTTAATTTTTGCTCACTGTAGGACATAGAGTTCCTTTAAAGACAACAACCGTCTCGGAGGATAAGAGATGAAGCTGCAGTACAGAAATACCAAAGATACTTTTAACGTAATGGCATGAATAAAATTCAGATTTTCTATATCTGGTGATTGGCAGGAAGTTTCTTCTTGATCGTGTAGCCAAGAATCTCCAGGATTACAGCAGTGGTGCCCTATGCCATTTGACTGGTCTGAGTTATGGTGGTAGTAGGGAGTGTCAGCTTTGTTGGCACCTGCTAGCGTACTATCTGATGCCCTTTTTTCACTGAGCCTTGGTAATCGGACTTGGGGCTAACTGTAGCCGGTTTATCCATTATCCTCTGCCTCGTATCAGTGGCTGTGCCCCCCAGTGGAGGGGGTGTGGTGGATGAGGATCCCACTTCTATTGTTGTTCCAGTTGTTCTTCAGAGTCTTGTCCTGCCTGGGTTGTAATATATATGTATGTGTTCCCCACCAGTGAACTCTGACAAGAAAGTATTTCAACACTAAAATGTCCGAAGGCATGGCACGGTGGCTGTATTTATGTTTGGCATTTCAGTGCAAGTAAACTCAGTGTGTTTGATATTTCAATACATATACAGTATGGTAAAAAATGCACATGGGGAAAAATGAAAAAAGTTATAGACATGAAATATAATACAATGAATTAAATATACAATAAACATAATAGGAATCATTATTTTCACACTAAAAATGGAATTTGAGTACTTGATCAATGCATAAGATAACAGAATAAATAGTCTGCAGAGTACAAAGTAAATTATTAATCAAAATAAAAAGGGAACTATTAATAGAACAAATACAGTTCATTCATAATAAATAAACCCCCAATAATAAGGTGTACAAAGGGCATATAAATACAAGTTTGTGGATTCAGTTTGTGCAAATACGTGGCTGCCGAGTGTCTGAGCGTGTGGCAGGGCCCTTATGTGTCCGTGCGCTTCCTTTAGGTGCATGTGCGTCTTTAAATATTCTAATCAATGTTTGTGGCCCTTGGCGAGACGAGGGCTGACGGTGTGCCAACACCACTGCAGCTGGGGACTCCACACACACGCGCGCACACACACCATCACCACAACCTTTCCTTTCTCTTTCCACTACTTCGCTGTGCTCTCTCTCTCTCTCAACAGACGTCGCTATTGCAGGTTTCTTTAACCTCTGAGCAGCCTGATTCTCTGCTCTGCCTTGTCTTACTCCTTTCTCATCCTTTTCTTTGTCTCTGCGTCCTCTCACTCTCTTTCTCACTCATCTAGTCTCTTTCTCTCTCTTTTAGGTTTCAAATTATGATACCCCTCCACTACTGCAAGGAAAACTCCTCCTCCTCAGCACTGTTAATATAGTCACTGACAGTGTGAGCTGCTCTCTCTCTTTCACTTTGTGCCTCTCTCTCTTTCACGCTCTCTCTCAGGCATCTCCCCTAGCCCTCTTCCTCCTCCTCCTCCTCCTCCTATCTGAGCATCCTCCTCTTGTCTCACATCGCTCTCCGTCTCCACTTGCGCTCGCAGCCTCCTGCCCGTCTGCCGTTCTCCACTCTTCTCTTGCCGCCTCTCCTCCTCTATTGCACACACTCCTAGCAGACATTGATGCACGCATGCATGCATGCATACACTCTCCCCTCTCTTGCTGTTTCCCCTCTCTTTCTCAGTCACACTCAGTCCTGTGCAGACTTGAGGATCTCCAGAGAGGAGATGATTTTGGTGGTGATTCTGTTGGAGCTCTGCTGATGAATTTTCTTATTCTTCTTGAGAAAAGAAAACTAGACTCAGAGCAATGTTGATGCAACAGCACCTTTTTCCTCTGTGCTCTGTTGATCTGCCTGCCTCCTGCATAGCATCAGTTCATTTTGGGGGGATTTAAGTGACAGAGAGTGCTGCGCTGGCTGTGCGCTCTGCAGTTTTGGTGTGCTGGATCTCCTTCTTCTTATTATTATCTCTCCACTGAAGAATGCTCTGTTCTATTCACAGTCAGGAATATTGCTACTGCAACTGTCAGTACTCTTGCTGATGCTCTCCACTTTTCTGCCCCGGCCATATCGCAGTCTCAGGCAGCCCGGTCACAGAAGCACCTGTGTTGCACATGGAAATGAGCCATCTGCTGCTGGTTCTACTGGACTCCAGCCTTTAAGCTAGACTTGAGATTGTCTCTAATTCACAGAAAGGCTCTGAATAAATTGGAGATCCTCAGAGTTCCTTTCTGATGAGCTGAAAATTCCTGTATCTTTGTATATCTAGGAGCACCACTGCTAAACCAGCCCTATGGTTTTTGACGTGAGCACGACTGAGATTTTGGCGTCTGACTAAGAGGTAAGGCTGCTTTTACTTTGACTTTGCTGTGTTGCTTCCTGAAGCCATTGTCCCTCTCTCCTGCTCCTTCTGAGCAACACTAATCTTGTACTTTGGATGTAAGGGTGATTCGGTCTCAGTGATGTGGCAGATTTCGCTTTGCTGGATTATTCTCTTGGTCTGCTAGGTGCTTATTTTTTAAAAGAAACTACATCTGCTATCGAGCTGCTATCTCTGCTTCCAGTTTTGTGTGGTCGACATGACTGGCACTGTCCTGTTTACTATGCACCATCCAGTGTCTGTAGCGATGTGTGCTGCTGCTTCTAACCTGCTCAGGAGCTGGTTAGAAGAGAATGGCATTGCAAGCCAGAGGTGTTTAGTGTTAAGTGGCTTTCAAGAATCATGGAGCGTTTGGCATCTCTTTGCACCGACTTGATCAGCCTGCTTGTATGAGTGCACAGGAGTCTGCAGTCTGAAATGAACAACAACTGGAGAGGAGGCTTCAATATTTTCATTTAATGATTTATTTTTTGTCTCTAAAATCCAGGTTTTCATTTTCTCTCATGCTGGATTTTACACCCTCTTGTGTTTTTTCGTGGTTTGCAGAGGTCTGTGATGCCGGCTGCTTCTACTGAATCAAGGAGCACAAACGACTAAAAGAATATCACACCCTGTGTCTGAACTAATATTTGTCAGTGAGATGTTCACACATCAGATGGTGTTACTGGATCACGTCTGTGGAAGGAAAGTCAAACTTGAAGATGACTACATTTGGAGGTCTGCTGTAGTTTTTGGACCAGTGCTCGTCAGTGTTAGTTGGACCAATCACTCGATTTAAGTTAATCTGAAGACCTTAAAGATGAAACGCCACCGATGGGGATAAATATCTCCGATTCAACGCCAGTTGGGCAGAACTGATGAAGCCTCTTGGATGAGAGGTGAAACATCTTCGACCTAAAAACCTCGTCCAGGTCTTTTTCAGCGTATAAAGAAGAAACAAAACAAAACCTTGAGGTTGAGTTCCATCTGTGTCAAGGAGCACTGATGTTATTCTGGAGGCTTGTGTTGGAACAGCACCTTCCAAAGTCACTTAACTTTTTTATTATTCACATATTTTTCATCAGTAGCTGTAATGCAGGAGATCTCTTTATGCTGGAGAACTTGCAATATAGTCAGGAAAGGTACCTTGATCTCTGAGGTAACTATATTACCATGCCAGATATCCATCAGTCTTATCTATGCTCTATTTGTTGACCTGGTCTTGGGTTCAGCTGAATTGGCTGTCCTCTGTCTAGATACAGTTTGTGTGTTTGGCAGATGCTGTGATGATTTTCCAGACTATTTAATAATCATAGCATTTGACAGATGCGTCTGCACCTTTTGGTGCCAGATGATGTGTCTTATTTTAGTTCTGTTGGGTTCTATCTGCTGGGGCATATTGTGAGAACTAACATCTTGGCCTGTTTTGTTCTCCGGTAAATTCAGGTAACTACTTAAAATGACCCAGCATGACCAACCTTTGAAGCCATTTTTGTAAGTGTGGTTGATATATTGTACTTTTAGGACCTTTTCCATAGGGTTCTTATATCCTACCTCTTTGCCTCTGGCAGTTCTGGGGCTCAAATGTTGAGATTGGCCTTAAGTGCAGCTATTTGTTATTGGGCTACACAAGCCTTGTCCTTGCTGTCAGCTGTATGATTAACAAGTAAAGATTCACTGGACTTAAAGCAGTGATGGAGTCAGTTTGAACTTTAGTGGTTCTCTCCCACGTATATGTTGTTCTAGCATCATGCAGAGCCTTTGTTCCAGAGTAATTCTCATGTAAATGGTTCACTGAGGCTATGGACACTTTTGATGGCCCAGTACTGGCCTGCACCTCTTCTAGTGGTTTATTTATTTTAGGGTTGCATTTTGAGATCTGAGTCAACTCCACGACTTAAACTGAAGACAGGACAAAATGAAAGTGGCTGTTTTCGTGTTTGTAACCTCAATGCAGCTGGTGGACAAACAGACAATGCTGTCTGCTGTTAGCCAAAGATTGTTTATGAGGTAAAGAGGCATCACTCTGTAACACACTGAATAATCAGACTGAATTGAGGGTCTCTCTGTTGTTCCAACAACTCCAACAGAGTGAGTCTTCACTGGTAAAACTATCAGTCGATCTCACATCAGTGATGGAAATGTAGCACATTCTGTGTGCACGCAAATGGTAACGCTGCATTTACCTGCATCTTTTCTTGTTTTGTTTGGCTAAAAAGTTGCTTACCTTTTTTAGATCTCACTTTACTGTCTGTGGTAATTTAGAATGGCTGACCTTAGCTGATTGTAGCTGACATGTAGCACACCTAGATAGCCCGTGGATGAGAGTGACAGATTCCTGATTAATTACTCGATTGATCGGTGGAATACTTGATTTCTAAAATAATTAGATGGATGCAGCTCTAATGACAATAAAGAGCTATCTATGCATCTGCGATACCATGTGAGGATTTGCTGTCTCCTTTTTTATATTGTTGTATTTGAGACTCAAATTAGGCATGTTTTTGTCTTTAAAGATTGAGAAAAGGTGTGAGATGGCTTCTTACAGTGACCAGTGGTATCCCACATGAACACAAAATACTCTGCTGACCTTGGATGTTTTTGTATGATGATAGTTTTTGTTGTTTCCCCTGAGAAATGTGTATGCGGTCTTGTTTGTGCTTTTTCACTGGATTCAAAAGGGTAGGGCTCAGTTATAGTCTAATCAGGATTTTCCATGAATTGAATCCGGGGGGTGGGTTGTTTGCTTGTCTTAGACAAAAGATCCTTTCACTGCACTGGCAGCTCCCAGCAAATTGAATTTAACAGAGCAGAGATCATTTGTCTGACTTTTGCCTTTAGTTTGTTTTGTGATTCAGAACCTGATTTCAGGATGCCTGTTTTCTTGTTTGCATCAGTGTGAATCAAATGAGAACAAATTACACTAACAGTCCCAACGAAGCAGATTAACTGAGATTTTAAATGTGAAACTCACCCTTAAACAACTTTTTAAAAATAACTTCTATGGTACTTATTTAATATTAGAGAAAAATATTTTAAAACTCTGACCAAAGAGCTCTGTTGCTCTTCCTGAGGTTTCTTCCATTTTTTTTGTCCCTGTTGAAGGACTTCTGGCAATTTTTCCTTCTCTGATTCGAGGGTCTAAGGACAGAAGGTGTCGTATGCTGTACAGATTGTAAAGCCCCTTGAGTCAGATTTGTGATACTGACCTATACACATTAAAAGCTGACGTGACTTTACTTGACCCACAGAACCAACTGCAGAATCAGACCTGCACGCAACCTGAGGCTTCATTTCATCCAATACTGATGATGGTTTCAGTATAGTCGGTGCTGAATGACCATACTTATCCCATGCATTGCACTGGTGAAAGGCTTTCTCTCTTTCCATTGCATACCTAACTGTAAGACACATAGAGTGCGTGTGAGATGAGAAAGCAGAAGATGGCAACAGGGAGGCGAGACATTAGAGTGCAGGAAGATGTGAAAGGTTCAAGGGACCGTGAAGAGCGAAACTGGGAAACAGCAGGTGGTGTTTGAGCGTTGATAAGAACGAAGTCTGCGATGATAGACACTCGAAAAAGATGTCCGGTAAATTTTACTAGAGAGATCGTGATGAATACTGCAGCAGGGACCTGAAGAATCTGAGGCGTTTCTCTCTTTATGATGCCCTCTCTGCCTCAGCAAGTACTCATAAAATACTTAATCTAAAAAGTAGCTCATACACACTTTGGTTACCCACGTACGCAATGTGCAGCTACTTTACAGCGAAGAGAACATCACCTAAAGGTTTGTTAAGTTGATTTGGTGCTAGAGGATGAGCTGCTGTGTCTTCCAGTATCTCAGCAAATTGGCTCCTGTTGGTCTGATGTAAACCTTCACTGTTGTTGTTCAGCCTGGGAAAAGACACTTTAGTGTGTGTGTGTGTGTGTGTGTGTGTGTGGACAAATCAACAGCACGCGCATTTTCATGTGCAGTTTGTTTTTCATAAGGGACCCATTTACGTGAGTGAATGTTGACTTGACGCTCTGAGTGCTCATTTTGCTTCTTTTTCTTTCTGTTTGGATAAAATAATAAATCTTTTTAATTCATAGCCCACTTGCCATTTCCCCTGAAACACAGGAGACTTTCTTACCCTCCACTAAATTTCATAGGGAAGCACTCTTTACTGTACGCTTAACAGAATCCTGGAGTTACACTCCAGATAAAGATTTTGCATTAACTATGACAAAGGGCCATTAAGTTGTCACTTAAACCACCTTTCTTTATTACACTCCTTCCTTCCCTCTGTGCCTTCCTCTTCATATGTATTTGTTTTCCTGTCCTTCCTTCCGACTTGACTTGCTTTTTTCTTGTCGTATTATCTCCATACTTTACTTTTTACCTTCCTCCCATTTTCATATGTGATGCCTTAGTGCTGTGTTGTGGAGGTTACTATTAAAATGTAATGTTAGAGATTGCTAGTTACCTTGTTAAAAATATAATAAGTAATATAACGAGTTACTCCCTAACACTGCCCCTATGCCAGTGATAGCTGTAGTTGGATACATCAGGTTTGTCCGTCTGTCCACCTGTCTGTCTGTCTGGCCCATTCTCATAAATGTGCTATCTCAGGAACCACTTGAGGGAAATTCTTCAGATTTAGCACAAATGTCCACTTGGACTCGAGGATGATGTGATTAGATTTAGTTGGTCAAAGGACAAGGTCACAGTGACCTTGTCCTGTTCCTGTGAAATTGACTGGTTAGAGGAGGCACACAACCATGAAACTGAAGTTTTTTTTCTTGTTGCCATCATTTTGGAGCATTTTCTTTTTTTGTCCCTTTTTAATTTGTTCCTGTCATGTTTTCCTACCATTTCTTCTTCTTCTTTCTTTCATGTTGCTTTCTGTTCATTTTCTTAGCTTGATCTTCCTTTTATTCCTCCTTCCTTCCAGTCTCCTGCCCAATTAGCCTCCAGGGCAACATTGTATCTCTCGACAAA